CCGAGATGGACTTCTTGCCCGACTTTGCGAGGTAGGCCTTCTTTTCCTTTTCGAGGTAGTAGGCACGGAGCTTCTCTGCTTTTTGCCAGTTGGAGCGCGTGGCCTCGTGGGTTCCGTAGCCCGAGGTGGCGATGGCGAGCCAGGGTGGGATGGTTCGTCGGCCAGACTTGCAGACGTAGCGCGAGATCGAGGTGCAGTAGAGCTGTTCTCCGGGTTGAAGCATCTCGGTGACGGCGTTGGTAGGAGCCGAAGCCGCGGCGTTCTTGGCAGAAGCTTTGGCGGGGGCGACGAATCTGCCGACGACGTAGAGCCACTTGTCGTCCCACGCTTCGAGACTCATACGGATGGTGTAGCGAGCGAGCAAGGGGATCTCGCGGTGAAAGTTGAACGCCGAGCCACCGAGGGCGACCCATCCGCCGTCGTAGTAGAGCTTGAGGAATCTGGGCGAGTTGTGAGCCATGCGGGTGTAGTCGAGGGAGCGCGAGTAGGACGAGTTGGAGAGGTGACCGTTCCAGTCGCACTCGTCGAGCGTGGCGACAAAGTTGTGGGAGGAGGTGTCGATGAAGACGTCCTTTCCGAGCGGGAGTTTGCTGGTCTTGAGTTGTGGCTTGATGGCGGCGTGGGTGAGTGCGTGTGGCTCGGGGGTCGAGAGCCAGGGGCGCGCACGGAAGACGGCCTTGAATGCCGGGTAGAGGACGCGAAGATGCCAGGCGAAGGGGGTGGAACGTACGTTGGCGAGCACGACGAGACCGAGGAGGATGCGTAGCCAGACGGGAGGGTTGATGCGGATGGGCTCGAGCAGGAGCGCCTTGAGCGTCGAGAATCCCCATGGCGAGACCACGACGGTGAGTGCGCCGAGGGGGGCGAGCGTGGATACGTTGAGTGCGCTGCTGCCCGTAGGCTTGGCGGCGGATGCTGCCGTCATTTCGTTTGTCGTGGAGATGGCGATGGAAGTAAAGTAGTAGCACAGACGGGTCCGGGCTATATAGTGTAAAGTGTGTCAGGGTCCAGTGTCAATGCCGAGCCAAGCAGATTGGCAGTCGAGGTGGTGGTAACGACGCAAATCAGAATGGAAGGACAAGAAAAAATAATGCCGATCTGCTTTCCGCCTCCACTCGGGCAGCGCCCCAACTTAATCGCGTAGTTTGAGGCAGCAGAATCGCACTCTCTTTCCTTCTTCCGGCCCCGGCAACCACTTCCGGACCGACTTTGGGAACATCTTTCCTTTTTTACCCAAAAAACCTGGAATTTTGGCACCGCCGAGCGGAGCGAGCTGAGCGCGCTGAGCCCGACTGGAAAATGATCAGCGCAGCTGACACTTTTTTGCCTTCCAAGCCTCGGCGGAAAGCAACACTGAGGCACAGCTGTCCCAGCCAGGCCTGTGTCCATCCTATCGCCGTTGGCCCTTGCCCTCGTTGGCTGACACTGCCGATGATCAGCATTGAGCCCACGCGAGCGGATCGCGACGGATCCCTGCAGATGCTGGCATGCAGCCGCTTCGGAATACGGGCCCCAACAATTGCAATATCAGCGCTCTCTCCTCCTGTCTCCGGAGCATTTACAGCTTCGGAGGTTTTCTTTCGTCTGCGAGGCCGGTGCGGTGACTTCGGAAGCTCCGAGTGATGACTTTGCTCAGCGCACTCTCTCCAGCGTGGCACACCTTGGCAAGACGTCGGTCCACGGATCTCGGATGTAGGCCACCATGCCTTTGACTCCGAGATCCGGCTTTGCACACGTCAAGGATAGGATGCGAATCATGAGATTGAAATGCACTCATTGCGGCGGCTGAGCCCGGCGACGTGCGTGGCGACGGAGGATGGCCCTGCCGGCGTACCACACGATGAGAATCGCCGCAAAGCCACCCACGATGCACGCGCCAATGATGCCCGACGCATCGTTGGCTTGCTGCCAAAAGAGCCACCATCGTCCCTCCAGACCGCCGTCGTGCGTGTCGTCCTGCTTCGACGCCGCCCTCGCGCATCGATCGCAGTTCTCCCCAATCAGTCCCATGAGCGTGATGATCGAAATGGCAAACGCCAGCAGAATCGACAGCAGCGTCAACAGCTGCGACAGCATCGATCCTGTGCCCCGCTCCGTAGTCGCATCCAAGTCAACCTCTGCATCCACCTCGCTCGTCGTGACATCGCTCTTCTCCCTAGCGACCTGAGACGCATCTTCGAGGAAGCGAGCTCTCTTCCACCATCCCCATCGACCCGAATCTTGCTCGGATCGTGGTGCGAGCAGCTCGCCCGGCGCGTATGCGTTGATCATCAGCACCGAATCCAGACTGTCCACCAGCGTCATGCCCGCCGTAAAGAGCAGCGCGAGCAGCACGATCGATGCGTCCGATCGTCGCGTCGCATCGGTAGGTAGAATGTTGTCCCCCGAACCAAGCTCGGTATCCTGCACCTGCGTATTCGTCGCGCCCGCAATGCCCAACAGCGCAATCGAAGACGCCGTGTCAAAGCCCAGTCCAAACAGCACGCCCACCGGATACATCTTATACGGTCGATCCACCAGCCGAAACAGCGGATAGGCGATGCGCGTAAAGATGCCTCGGAATCGGTGGTCTGCCGCCTTGCCGTCGTCCCTTGGCTCCTCGTCCGCATCCGTTGCCTTGGCCGGCATCTTGTCTTCGTCGGTGGGGCTTGCGTTGGGTGTCCATGCTTGCTGTGTGTCGCGAGGGGATGCCCTGCGATGCCTGCGCGACGCGGCGAAGCTTTGGTACAGCAGCACCGAGTTGACCACCGCAAAGAGAAAGAGGGTCGAGCCAGACACGGATGCACCGATCACGCCGCCAACCGAGCTGACCTTGCCGAGTCGGTCGACGATGCCCAAGCTGATCGCGATCGCGCAGATCACAGCCACTACAATCGTTGAGTGGCCCAGCGAGAACCAAAGTCCACACGTCACCGGTCGTCGTGGCCGCAGAGAGCCGGTATGGCTAAGCGAAACGATCCGTCGCGTCGCATTATCGATCACCGAGATGTGGTCCGCATCGAGTCCATGTCGCAAACCCAATGTCCACGCCAAAAGACATAGCGTCAGAAAGCGAGGGCGTTGGCGAAAGACGATCGCCGCTACAATCCACAGCAACGCATTCACCGCCAGCTCGGCTGCGATCAGCACGCAGCATCGCAGCAGCAGCGTAGGCCGCTTACCACCCAGCTTCAGCCAGCTCGCCATTGTCCAGTCTCCAGCTGTTGCAACTCGACGTCGTCTTGAGATGGATTGATGGAGACAACAGTTAAGGCGCCCGCCCCCTCCTTATCTTATATTGTTGCCCCGAGATTTGAGCGTCTGTGCGCCGAAGCTTCGATCCGAATTCGGCAAAAAAGAGCCCATCCTTCGGTCGGCAAAAGAAAAAAGAGATTCTATTGGACCCTGCCGTTCTTCATATCGGTCCTGCAGTCGATACTCTATGCTCTTGCAGATCCGCGGGTCTTGGCAGCGTGCTTCATCCTCCACCGCTCCAGAAAAGACTAGCCGTCTTGAGCGCCGAGCGAATCATGGATACGGCGTCTGCATTGCCTTGCCAAGAGACCTGCACGGCCATGCATCGGTCGGGATCTCGGCCGTGCTCTGCCATACGCCACGGACTTGGCCGAGATTTCAAAAACACCCAATCCGAATCTGTGACCCACAGCCAGGCAATCACAGCCTTCCAAATGACATTACTCGAACCGACTCGCCTTGAGCACGCTTTGTATGACTAGATCGGAGCCCTTGATGCAGCCTGGATCGCTGATGACGAAGCCCAAGATGGGATAGACATGAACGCCACCCGAGCCTTCGATGAAAGTGCAGTCGACCTGTTGTTGTTCGCATCGCTTGGCAAAGTAGTAGGCGCAGGCGTAGAGGATGTCCGATGTGCCGCACGACAGAGTGACGTGAACCTTGGCCTCTTGCAGCAGCTCGAACAGAGACGAGGATGCGATCGGATCCAGCATCGCATCATCTGCTTGCAACGGTAGAACCTGACGCCATTTCTCAGCTGCACCATCCACGTCGGATGCAGATGCCAGTTGCTCCACAGCCGTGTCCTGCACCGATTGCGATCCCACCCACATCTTGCAAAGCTCCTGCACCCGCTTTCGATCCAGCCACCAGTCTTGCGCTTGCATGCGATCCATATGCTCCACGATGTCACCTGTGACATTGCACGTGGTCACAGGTGCAAGGAGGATCAACTGATCGGGTTGTAGTTTGCCGATCTCTTCCGTCGACAGCAATGGCTTGCTGAGGAGTCGAGGCGCGAATCGCTGGATGCACAGTGGCATGCTGGATGCGATCGAACCACCGGCGCTATCGCCTGCAATGATGATTTCTTGACCCAAGCTTCGAGCGTGCGCCGAGATGGCAAGGTAGAATGCCGTCAGTCGGGGCAGCTCGCTGGCAGCAATCCCGGCTGGCGCAAGTTCGTAGGGGAGCATGTAGACGACGGCATTCAGACGATGCGCTAGCAAGCTGCACATGTAGCCATGCGCCGTCGTCGCTGGCTGCACAAACCCGCCACCATTCAAGTAGACCACCGTGCGCTGCGCATTCGTCGCGCCCGCCTTGGGCTGGAATCGAAGCACCCGGATCGCACTCCAGTCGAAGCGAAAGACCGAGGCAAATAGCTCCGACTCGGACGAAGGCTGGTACCAGTCCAGCCGCACGCCGTGCTGTCGAGCATACTTGTTCTTGCCCGTCTCGTACGCTTTGAGAAGCTCGGAAAAGTCCTGTGGCCCTGGCGGATGGAGGTTTCCGTCACCAGCTTGGCGCGCTCGTCGTTGGCGAAGCCAGATTGCCGCTCGCAGCAGCAATTGCATGAAGACATAGCTGCGCCACGACGACGTCGGATTGTGCGTCAGCTTGCGCACGCTGCTGCTGGCGTCTGATGGCTGAAACAGCGTCGACGGATCGGTCATTTTCAAGGATGACGGTAGTTGGAGAAACGGATGGACTCGAGGGAGGAGGCAGGCCCGCACCGCACATCCAGCTCAACGTCGGAATGCCGTTTCGAGGCTTGCAAAGTTCCGGCTAAGCGCTGGCAGTGCAGAGGATCGTTCCGCCGGAGAAACGATGCGCAGGCTCCGCCATCTACACTCGGCTTGCCGGAAGCAGCCCACGCGCCGATCCATGTTTGCGAAGATTCGAACGGCAGTCCAAACCCTCGCCAAGTAAGCAGTTGAGCAACACCCCACCAGGGGACCGTCTGGCGGCAACCGCTCGCATTTTTAAGAACATCCCGGGGTGGAGGTGGTAACTTCGCGCGGAGATTCGCAAATAAGTTGCCGTGCGGGGGAGTCCACCATGAAACCATAAAGGCAAGGGGTGGCTGCGCTCTATCTAACGCTCCTCTCGACATCAACGCTCTTTCTGGACATCATTGTTTGACACCATGACCACTGCATCCGAATCTCACCGTCCCTGGGCACTCATCACCGGCGCATCGGAAGGGCTCGGCAAGGAATTTGCCTTGCAACTCGCACAGCGCAAGACGCACAATGTCATCCTGGCCGCCCGTAGCGTGGACAAACTCGAGTCGGTGGCCAAGACCGTATCCGAGCAGGTGCAGTGCAAAGTGGTTCCGATCGACCTCTCTGTCGCTGGAGCGGCTGAAGAGCTCGACCAAAAGACGCGCGAACTGGACGTTGCTCTGTTGATCAACAATGCCGGCGTTGCCTTTGGCGGTCCCTTTGAAGACATGGAGTACAAGGACGTGCAATCTCTCGTCGCGATCAACATCGTAGCGCTCACCGAGCTGTTTCATATCTTTTTGCAGCGGATCAAGCTGCAGCACAAGAAGCTCAGCGAGCAGCAGAAGCAGTCCAACTACGCCCTGGCAGGCATCATCAACGTTTCGTCCGTGTCCGGCTTCATGCCCATCCCCTCGATGGCTCTCTACGCCGCTTCCAAAGCCTTCGTCCTCTCGCTCACCGAGAGTGTCTACGCCGAACAGCGCAACGAGGCGAGCGATCTGCGTATCGTCGTCAGCTGCCCTGGCGCCACCAAAACCGAGATCTGGACCAAGGGCGGCGCCAACGAGAAGTCGCTACTCCTGCCACTTGGTACAAAGGAGCACGTCTGCGCCACCACTTTGGCAGCTCTCGACGCCCGCGACAAGCCAGTGATCGTGCCTGGCTATTTCAACAATCTTTCCGTGGCCAGCCTGAGACTCGCTCCGCGCAGCTTGGTCCGCTTCCTCAGCCGCCGCCTCATGGGGCAAGACCCTTCGCTCCGGGATCCTCAGGAAGTTCAAGACACCTTTGCCAAGTTGGGCCGCTCTGTACCCACACGCTCCTGATCACTGCCAAAAAATGTTACAAGTGCGATACGCTGTGCGATTTTGGTGGTCGGTGACCTTAGCTTTGATAATGGTAATATTGACAATCAGCGAGGCTCGTGCGCCGAAATCGTTGTCTCGGGCTTTGCTCAGGCTTCGTTGTGCACCCTCTTTGTTGCACGCCCTTGACAGATCGTGGACTGGGCTCAACGCTTGTCAGGACATAGAGGACGGTGACAGAAGGACGCTTCGCAGGAGAGATCCGAAGACGCCACCCAAGCACTCGGCCTAGCCTTTGTCCTAGGGCGTGGTTAGTGCTAGGGAAGAGCCACGCCAGCCGAGTCTCGATAAAAGTCGATGCGCTTGTTGCCGAATCCGACCGAGGCAGTCACTCGAACGCATCAAACGCGTCGCTCGATGCTTCTATCTTGGTGTCGCATCCCGTCTTCAATTGCGAGGGACACGCACCTTCCCGTGGTATAGATTCGGCACGAATATGCTTGCGATGCGCGCTGTCGATCAATTGGAATCCTTTGCTTGTTCTTTCTCGGCTTGGCTGAGGAGTCGTCCGACCTGTGCCTTCTCCTTCCTTTCGCTCCATCGACTCGCAAACGTCTCCTCGCGACCGTAGAAGAGGCACGAGACCTTGACGAGCTCTTCGACGACATCGACCAGGCGTTCTCGATTGGAAGAATCCATCATTCGGCCCTCTGGAGTGAATTGGGTCCATGCTTTGGGCAAAGATGCCTGGTTGGGGATGGTGAACATGCGCATCCATCGACCCAGGATGCGTAGCGAGTTGACGGCGTTGAAGGATTGCGAACCGCCGTTGACCTGGGACACGGCCAGGATCTTGCCCTGCGTGGGACGCACGCTGCCGAGACTGAGGGGGATGTGGTCGATCATGGTCTTCATGATGCCGGTAAGGTTTCCATGCTGCTCGGGCGAGCACCAAAAGTGCGCCTCGCTCCATGTGACGAGCTGGCGCAATTCTTGCACCTTGGGATGGGCATCCGTCCCGGCAGTTTGGCCATCCGACGTAGGGGACAGGAACGGGCGCACGGCGTCGTCATCGTCCTTGAGCGGCAGTCCGTGGGGATCGAATACTCGTACTTCGCAGCCAAGGTGATGGAGGATCCTGGCAGCCTCGAACGACATGAGCTTGGAAAACGAGCGTTGACGATTGGAGCCGTACAGCACGAGCACTCGCAGCGGTCGCGGCAACGCTTGGTGCATCTGTCTGGCCTCCGAGAGCTGGTCAAGCTGATCTTGGCGAGCGATCTTGTACGTCCAGTCGTCGGATACGTCGCCGGTATAGAAGGCGGGATCGAGAAAGGGTGTGTACGCTGATGCCGACGCCGAGCTGAGTTCGGAGGGGGAAACCATGGTGGAACTGGTTCGAGATTGACGCAGCGAGCGAGGGGCCAAGAGTGCGGCTCGTGGAAGGTCAGTCCGAGAAAGTGAATAGAGCAACGAACGCGGCAGCCATAGCCGTGCAGACATGGTGGTCGGGAGTGTCGAGCGCAGCAGTGGTCAGCCGGCTCAAGATGGCTTTTCAGGATGAGGGAGAGCTCTAATTTAGTGCACCAAATCTCTCCGAACGGTTCGGTGATTCCTGCCTTCTTCCCGACGTCACTGGGTGGAGTTCTCGGAACCACGACGGAGTCGCTTTGGCTCGGCGGACCATGCTGAGCCGTCAGCCCAACCCGGAACAGCATCGGATAAGACAGGTGTGAAGATTGACGCCATCGACGCATCCGCTTCGGCGACCTCAAGCCGAATTTGAAATTCAAATAGGCAACAAGAAACCCAAAGTCACCGACGGACCTGACCGGGTCCCGACGTGATCATGCTACGTCGTCATAGCATTGCGAGCGTTGAAAACCAAGGTGTCAGAACCAACATCGCCGCTGTTCATTGGAAGCAAGGTCATCTGCGCACTGACCGTGTGCATTGCAACGCCTGTGCGCCGTCAGCCTTGCCCACACTGTCGAAGGCTTCGACGTCCGCAGCCAAACC